GGGGGGGGGGGGGGTGTGGTAAAAAATAGCAAAAAATTGGTGGACGTCTTTTATGGATGACCCCTTATGAGAAGGATGCTACTTACTTGAACCAAACTAATGCACATTTATGTTGAGGTATTAAGTATATACCAGTTCATTCAAGGCATCACTTACAATACTTGCATGTATTCAGGGCGAAGGGTGAACCAGGCGCCAACATCAAAAACAGGGAGGGGGGGGGGGGTTGCCAACATCGTCTTTAGATAGGACCTTTAAATAGTGAATTAAAAAAAAAAAAATTACTTCACAAAGACAAGTGGCGCTAGTAAAAATTGTATTATTTCTGGGCCATTTTTTTAGATTTTAAGCCGGGTGCCACTTTTCCCCAGCACTGTGCACCAAAACAAAGGAAAAGTGGTGGGGGGTGGGGGTTTGACATACGATCTCCAAACCATTCGTACTTGAGGTTGGAATAAACTAATTATAAGAGTTTTGAACTAAGATAAAGCTATTAATTTTTATGTAGGAACCGGTACAGTAGATCAATAAGACTAAAAACAACAAAAACCATCAGAACCGGTACAGTAGATCAATAAGACTAAAAACAACAAAAACCATCAGAACTGTTAGAGTCTATGTATGCTCCCATCCCCATCGAGTTTAATCTTGGCAAGAAAAACGAAGCGAGGCATAACGCTGCGTGAATGTCTTTACATGCCAAGCACATTGAGTTCATAGGCGCCCCACGCCCACGCTTAAAAAAAAAAAAATATCATGAATTCAAAAGTTTTTTGGGGACATTAATTTCATAAATGTTAGTACATTTTTTTTTGGAAGAGCGTGATTAAAAATAGATAACACTTGAATAAATTGTTTTATTTCGTACTTCTTTGTCTTGGAAGATGTCATGGGAAAGTTGTCAGTTGTCGGCAAATCGCGGCTCTGTAGCGACCTGAGTGCGGCTCGGCTGGTCGGCCACAAATCGGTTTTGACTCCATCGTTATTGACAGGTTCTTGAAAAGAAATTGGGCTCTCAAATTTGAAAAAAAAATCGCAGTTTTGCTGATTTTTGGCTCATTTGACTAATGAGTTCGCTTACCACAGTAAAAGCAAATCAGAAAGTTGGGTGAAGCATATGAATAAACAAAGTGTGGGGCGCCCATGAAATACAAAAATGTTAAAGGTCATAGGTCAGTAGTTACTTCTGTGACCTTTTTAATCTAAGCTGGGACCTAAAGAATACCCTGGGGTGCGCCACAGTGAAGGTTGGTTATGGCACCGGGTACCATAATGCCTAATTTTTGAACCAAAAAAAACCCCCCCCCCCCCCACTCAGAAAGTCTGAAATGCCCCCTCCGTGGATAAACTTTTCTGACTACCTCTTCCCAATTTTACACTTTTACTTGAGAGCCAATAAATGCACCCTCAATTTCTGCCCCTTCCCCAATTAAAATAACAATGTTGGTAAATTGTTAGCTATAGACTATAGAGAACAACAAAAAATGGATGCAAGTATTTAAGATGAGTTTCTTGAAGTGACGAATATCTAATTATTATTTTCCTTATTTAGTTGAACTATGAATGTAGATTACAGGGGCAGAGGTGAAACTTAGCTGGGGCCAAAAATTTTGCCACCCTTTTCCACGTAAATAAACAACTTGCAGTAATCCAAAGATCCCACCCCTTTATAAAAAGAAAAAGGAACACCCCTTCTGCGCTTTTCCTATGCCAAAGCAACGACGCCATTATCTTTAGTCTAATAAGTTCTGTGTATTCAATTGATAGCATGATAATTAAAAATGCGAATTTATTATAATTAAATTTCACAAGGGAAGTTGCTTTAATTATTTAATACTGAGTTATCTTAATGATAATGTTATTAATATACTATATATGTCTAGTTAGATTAAGTTAGTCTAGCTTAGTTGCTGATTTTGTGATCAAAGTGATTTTGTTCTTCTTCAAATTTATTTTGCTTAAATACAGCAAAAATTTGATTGATCATCATGACATTGGGATTGCTTGATTACTGATTGCTTTACTTTACTATTGATCTGATTGGCATTATTTATTAGCATTGGGCTTGGCCTATTTACATTCTTCATTATTATTGTTTTGACACTGAACACTGTCTTGTGTTTCGTTTGACACGGTTTGAGTTTGTTGATGATTTTAAGTAGGCCTTTGGCCTTTTTTTTCACTGTTAGTGTTAGTCTTTAGATTTAGACTTAAGCCTTTACGACTTTAATTTTAATACTTGGAGTCTAGATTCCAAGTGTATAAAATAGTCATAGTTTAAAAATCTTATCATAATATTATTAATAATATGGTCTATGGAATATATTACATTACATACTCAAAGATTAGGCATACTTTGCATTTATGATATAGGTGTTGACGTTGATATTCTACCCCTTGAGTTTGAGTATGAGAATGGTTATGAAAAAATAATATTTTTCCAGCTTGAAGTGCTATTTAAATGATTATCGTTTCATTAATAAGATAAAATTCTTTTATTGACCCAAATGCCAAATTGAAATATATTTGATAATCACCTTGTACATAGTTGTTTCAGCACATATATAAAAGATAAATTAAAAAAAATTGAAACATTTAAACAATTTAATGATGAAAATAAAAAAGAGTTTGAGTTTGTATCATCTCCATGAAAAATGAATGCAGGACATGAACTCATGCAAATATAAAGGGAAAAGTTTGTGCCGTACATTAAACTAACTTTTCATTTTGCGCTTTGTGTGCATCCACATATTTTTACCAGTCTGTGTTTGGACACCAGCATCTTTTGGATTGACAAAATTTTGGGGATGAATAACAACGGAGTGATCCTAGATGCTGTGTCTGATATGTTTTATGTTTGTATAAGCTGTCCATCCGTCTGATTAAAATTAGTAAGCCTGGAAGGATATAATCTCTCTATGCATTCCTGTAATGTGATCGCATGTTGGTCTGACCCTGAAAAACAGCTCCCACTCTCTTTTTTTGCCACCAAAAACCCATTGGCCATCTCCACTGTACTATTATTGAACATCAATAACAGAATAACCATTAAATTAGCACTTCAAACCCAAGCAATAAGATTTTTTCATAACCGACGCTGAAGTGGTAGATTACAAAAGTGTTAGTTCTTGACCACCTGTTTACTCCACCAGTGGAGATACTGGTAACTGTTGGTTCAATAATAATAAATTTAACATATTTGAAGTATTTTTGGTAAAATCAAGATCTGTGACACGCACTGCATCTTTTAGATTTTTTATATATTTTCCTATGTGCGTGTGTGTGTGCATGTGGTGGTGAGGGTGGGGTTATTCAAGCATTTTGTTTAGGGGAAAATTTCATCTATCACTGATGGTATCAGCTGCATCTATCACTGATGGTATCAGCTGCATCTATCACTGATGGTATCAGCTGCATCTATCACTGATGGTATCAGCTGTTTCTATCACTGATGGTATCAGCTGCATCTATCACTGATGGTATCAGCGGCATCTATCACTGATGGTATCAGCTGCTTCTATCACTGATGGTATCAGTTGCATCTATCACTGATGGTATCAGCTGCATCTATCACTGATGGTATCAGCTGCATCTATCACTGATGGTATCA